CTGCAACTGGTGAGAAGACCGAACAGTCTATAACTGGAGAAAAAGAGACTGAACAGCCTACCACCGGAGAAAAGATAGGTCCAGTATCCACTACTTTAACACCTACAACTGGTGAGAAGACCGAACAGCCTATCACTGGAGAAAAAGAGACTGAACAGCCTACCACTGGAGAAAAGATAGGTCCAGTACCCACTACTGTAACACCTTCAACTGGTGAGAAGACCGAGCAGCCTATCACTGGAGAAAAAGAGACTGAACAGGCTACAACTGGAGAAAAGATAGGTCCAGTACCCACTACTGTAACACCTTCAACTGGTGAGAAGACCGAACAGCCTATCACTGAAGAAAAAGAGACTGAACAGCCTATCACTGGAGAAAAAGAGACTGAACAGCCTACCGCTGGAGAAGAAGAGACTGAACAGCCTACCGCTGGAGAAGAAGAGACTGAACAGCCTACCGCTGGAGAAGAAGAGACTGAACAGTCTACTACAAGTGTAGAATTTTCTACAAAAACAGGTATGGTATAGATGCTCAAAACGCTTAGAGTATTTGTATTTTAGAAATAAGCTCAAAATACAGCATTTTTATTTTATTTTATATTATTTACGGCCAACACATGTCCTTAGTGCTGATGCGTACAATTGTTTGTCATATGCTTAATTTGTTTTTTCTCTTGATATTCTTCTTTGAAATTAATATTTAGGATTTTTAAATAGAGGATATTACATGGGCGCTTGGAGATACGAAATTTATCTTCGAGTGTGGAAAAGATTTTTCAACACGAGAAGATAAATTTCGTATCTCCAAGCCCCCATGTAATATTCTGTTTATTATATAATTATCCATAAAATCACCTTAATAAGATTTTTATTATTATAAAAAGTTTTTATTTGTAATCTGATAGCTTAAATAAACAGATTGAACGATATTTTCACATGTGAAAATATCAGTTTTTCGAAAAGCAGAAATATAGGTATTTTATAGATAATTATATGATAAATAGTTTTGATTAATGAAACTTATCTTTTATTGCACGTACATTATTTTCATCTTTTTCACTCCTTTTACTGCGTTTGACATACTGACTAATTTTTGCGTTTCAATCAGGAATTCTTACCGACATAACAAAAACTCCGCGCCCTCAGATAAAGGTCACCACATCCACCGTTACTGAAGACAAACGAACGGGCAAACCAACAAGTGCTAAAGTAGTAACTAAAAAACCAACCACTACTTCTAAAGTGGTAACTGGAAAACCAACCACTACTGAATTAGTAACTGGAAAACCAACCACTGGTAAAGTAGTAACTGGAAAACCAGCCACTGGTGAAGTAGTAACTGGCAAACCAACCACTGGTGAAGTAGTAACTGGAAAACCA